TCCAGCTTTCTCATACATATGAGGTTATTGAAAATACATGGCTTGGGTCAGGTATACCTTAGTCCTCAAGATGACATCTTTGCTCTTCAACAGTTTAAAAAAGTACAAGGTTAACAGTTTGAAACCCAGCAACTGCTCCTTGGGAACTCTATACAGGGTTGCTATGAGTTCTGAACTGACTTGACAGTACTTTAACAACAACATCATCTTTTTTCACAGTCAACTTGTCCCACTGAAGCCCTCAATTTTCTTTTCAAATTTTACCTCCCTGCCTTCTCCTTTTGTGCCAAGATATGCAGTTATAATATCTGTGCCACTTCTGTCAAAGAAAAGGTTCTCAGTAAAAAGGAAGGTGGCAGTCATTTTTGCAAGGTTTTAATTTATCTGAATTTTTTTAAATATTATAAAACTTAAACTGAGAAACTTCTCTGTCTTATTCTTGCCTAGAAACAGACTAAGTGGGTAAAAGCTCCAGGAGTGGGCTTGAAATTAAGTTTCACAAATATTTCTACTAATAGGAGACACTGATATAGATAACTTAAGTTTGCAATTACTGACCTGCTACTAGAACGTTCTGGATGATTTCTCCCAAAATGAAAAACACAGTGGTTAAAGAGTGTAGACACTTAGACAAGTTCCTTCTCTGGGCCTCCATTCATATGTAAAATGGGAATCATTTAAACCCTATAAAGTTGCTGAAGAATTAGCTATACATTACTTAGTCCCTGAAATATAAAAAGAACTCCATAATGTTTGCTATTCATCATCTCCATTATTGCTGTCATATACACTATACCAAGCAAGCATAAAGTTCACTCTTTAGGATTAGCAGTACTAAAGAATATCACAAAGGAAGAAGCTGGAAAACATCAGGTTTAGGCTCTGAGGATCAGACTTTAGCCACCTAGCCGATATAGCAAACTGTCCCTCATCTGATTATTCAGTTATGCTTGTTAGTAATCGCATACATGAGCCCTGGATATCCACAGATAAATGTAAAAACCTTCCCTAAAAGCCGAGACTATAAATTCCAAAAAGGCAAAGTCCACCCCCACCCCCCCAAAAAAAAAGCTAAAGAGGATAGAGAGAAACACTGTTAACTGATGATGTATGGAGAGGATTATAATCAATGTAATGAAACAAGTCATATAAATAGCTGAATGTAAAACTGATGATGTGCCCTGTAAACTTTCACTCAATCCACAATAAAAACCTTAAAAAAAAAAAAAGCCACGGAGACCAGGTTTGCTTGATCACGGTTTTCTCACACTCTAACCTACATGAAGATTCCCTGGGGATCTTGTTCAAGGACAGACTCAGCTAAAGTGGGGGCGGGAGGGGGTGCTGAGACTCTCAGTAAGCCACACTGTGAAGAGTTGTTGTTGTTAAGTGCTGTTGAGTCAGTTCCAACTCACAGCGACCATGCTTAGGGTTTCCAGGGAGCGGCTGATGAGCTTTGCAGTCCTGCACATTAACCCACACCACCACACCAAGACTCCAACTGTAGCAGGTGTTTAATCTCTGCAGCAACAGCGTCTACAGAAAAGAAGGGGCAAAGATGGGCTCTTGAACGTGGCTGACCACGTAAAAGGATCTCATTATGCATCCTTTCCACGTGTTTGGCAGGTGTGGGAAGCAGGCCAAGGGATGTGGGTAACAGTACTACTAGCCCCAGCAGCTAACATACACAAGGTTTCTTTAGGAAATGATGAAAATGTTCTAAAAATTAGATTATGGTGATAGCTACACAACTCTGTGACAATATTTAAAACCATTGAATGTCATGTTTTTTATGGGTGGACTTCCAACAATAAAACTGTTAAAAATGGAAAAAAAAAAAAATCAGGTTAACAGGGACCCCAATATTTGACCAAATATTCAGAAACTGGAGTGTGACTCTGATCAATCTAACTGAAGGTGAATGTTATGAGAAGAGTGAAAACAAATCTCTAAAATTTATGCGATTCCTGTCAAATTGAACTTTCTTTTAAACTGAAGAATATGGATTTTAAAAGCATAACAAACTAATGATAAAGCATGCTGTTGTTAAGTGCCGTGGAGTCTGTTCTGACTCCTAGCAACCCTGGATAGGGTTTCCAAGGAACGGTTGGTGAGTCTGAACCGCCGACTTGTGGTTGAAACCAACCTTGCTTTATCCCACAACTCCACATTATAAAATATAGATTAAAATCTTTTTATTTGAAAATATTGCAGTAGAAAACATTGGGGAAAGTATCTAGAAATATTTTTGATTATACCAATATACATAATTCCACACTAGTTCATTAATAAGTATTCAATTTATGTAGAGGTAGAAACGTACACTTAGGTAATATAATTTAGCCAATTTCAGGTAATCTCAGTAGAATGTTATATTAAAGCCATTTTGTCTGAAATAGTTATTGCCTAACTGGATTGGGCAGGTCATGTCCCACCCAAATTTAAAATCTAGCGAATATTCTGGAGTTTTAAACAGTTAACCAGATTGAAAACTATGTCTGCCCTTTTCCACTACTAATAGTCAGGAAATCGTTTCTCTCCAGAATTTAATGGAGTTTTAAAATGCCAATAATTTTAATACATCATTTACTATTCTGTGCATGCATACACAGCACATATCAGGCCTATGTTTCTAAAGTATATTATGCATTAGCATTTGAAAGAAAATATTATCTCTACTAAAGGTAGTGAAATCCAATTTGATTTATTGTTCCTCTTATATTTATAAGGAGCTCTGGTAGTGTTACAATACCTTCTGGGTTCTTCCCTCTCCTTTCCTTTAGGCTCCATTTTGTCTGTTTCCCCGCCAAACTAAGCTGCAAGGGGCGTGGTTTAATAGGCAACACGGCTTTTAATAGGCCAGAGCTAAACCACCCCAGCAATGACGTAAGCTCTCCTGATTTGAACCTATATAAGACCACTCCCTTGCTGTTGATCTCACTTCCTCTTCCTCTGCTTTCGCTCTTGGGCAAAGGTCTCCCTGCTTGTCTTCACCCAGAATAAAAAAATCCCAAAACGGCCTGTCTGGTGTGCGATGTGGTTGATGAGACACCGGGTTGTTTTTTTTAGGTAGCATAGTGGTTACAAGTTGGGCTGCTAACTTCCAGGTCAGCAGTTCGAAACTACCCACAATTTCTCAAGAGAAAGATGAAGGCATTCTGTTCCGGTAAAGATTTACAGCCTCAGAAACTCTATACAGGGTTGCTATGAGTAGGAACCAACTCCATGGTACACCACCGCCTTATATTACTACATATTTGCATTGTTCTTATTTATCTTAGTGGTTACAGGTGAGATCCCATACGAAAATTAAGTAGAGGGTACAGGGACTTACCGAAGGAAATGGTAAAATGGTAAGCAGGGTAAATGGAAATAAAGTATTCTCAAAAATACTGCCATTTAAGTGAAAAGGTCTACACATGTATTCTTTATATCCAACTCATAGAGAACTTTCCTATGCTTTAACTTCACTTAACTATTATCTAATTAGTTTAATGGCCCCTCACCAGATTGTATTGAGTTAAAAACAACAACAAAAACCCAATGACATCAAGTTGATTCTAATTCAGATCAATCAACCCTATAGAAGAGAGTTAGGACTACCCCATAGGGTTTCTAAGTTGATATTTTTACAGAAGCAGCTAGACAACATCTTTCTCCCACGGAGTGGCTAGTGGGTTTAAACTACTGACCTTTCATTTAACAGCCAAGTGATTAACCAACTGTGCCACCAAAGTGCCTTGTATTAGGAGTACTACTTTACATTTATATACAACTGTAGTGGTTACGAATCGGGCTGCGACTGCAAGGTCAGCAGTTCAAAACTACCAGCTGTTCTGCGGGACAAAGATGAGGTGTTTTGCTCCCGTAAAGATTTACAGCCTCGGAAACCCTGTACAGGGTCATTATGAGTCGGAACCGACTCCACGGCACACAGCCAGCCAGCCAGTACATTCACTTATTAGTTCATATAACCCCAAAATGGTGTTACACAAGGGGAATATTTCATTTTTAGGGTAAGGAATGTATGATACAGATGTTTTCATATTATCTTACTATTCATAATTGCCTGTAAAATTCCCACTGTAGTTCAGTATAGTTCTTGTTATTCCAAATAGTCAATGTCCACAGTCTGGTTTTGGAAATTGGCTGATAGCAACAACAAAGTGCCAAGTAGCAAGTATGTTTCCATCACAGCCTTAGCTAGTTGACTCTTGATTCCTCCCATGTCTTAGAGAAAAAGCAACAAGTCTTTTGTAAACCACTCCCATGTGGGTGATGGAGAGTACCACTATTCCACATACAAGACTGAATGCCCATCGTGGTCCCCAGTAAGCATAAACTTGACTGATGAACATGGGTCCGAGAATCCGAGCTGCACTTCCAGAAGCTGTTAACCAGCCCATGTATGCACCCTGTGGGGGCAAAGTAATGGACAAGAAGATTGATAGTCAGGGTTATTTACTAAACAAAGGTGATGCTACTAATAACATGCTACAGCAAATTCAGAAGAATCATTTTCTCTACACAAGTATTCTACCTAACCAGAGTTCCCTACTACTATTTTTTCTCACCGTACAGACTTTTTTGTGTGTCTCACAGAAGTTTGTTGTTTTTTAAAAAATTATTGTGAATTGGTGGAAGGTTTACTGAGTAGATCAGTTTTCCATTCAACAATTCATTATTTTGTTTTTACTTAACTAGTTTAAAAGTGAATGAGTATGTCTTTGAATAGGTATAGAACTATGTCTTGAAGGGTACAAATGAAGTTAATAATAGTTGAGCTCCGTGTGGTTAGTCTAAGAGGAGCTTTCATTTTCTGCCACATACATTTCCAAATTATTGAAACTGTTAAAAGTATGATATATTGCTTTTTTAAAAAAAGTTTTTATTATGAATTGAGTGAAAGTTTACAGGGCAGATCATGAGTTTTACATTCAAGAAATCGTAGTTTGTTTCATTACAATATATATAATCCCTTCCATGTACCATCCGTTAGCAGTATTTCTCTCTATTCATTTTAGTTCTTTTTTTTTTTTGCCCTTCTTCTTCTCGGTCTCATTTCTAGGTGAACAGGAGTCAATGGACTGTGGTTTAATTCAGCCCATTTCTTTATTGCTTCCTTTCCCCCGCTTCCACTCACCAGTAGACCAATGTGGTTGCCAGCAAGCTTACATGCCTGCTCATGTGTTCCCTTTGAGTTTTAATCTTAGAGGGGTGATATTTTACTTTTGTAATTAATTTGTTTTTATTCTTATTTTGGAAAATTTTAAATATAATCCTTTAGATTAAAAACAAACCCAAAATTATCACCAAGATTTTTAATTTATTATTCAAAACTTAAGAATTTTTTAAAAGGTTTTTTCTTTGCCTTATTTCAATAGAGAAACACTAATTATTTTAAGGAGGAGAGTAGTATTTTCATTTTGTGGACATTTAAACAACTGCTGCCAAGAAAAGAAAGGAGTTCTGGTGTGGTGCTGCTAACCGCAAGGTCGGCAGTTCAAACCCACCAGCCACTCCTTGGAAGCTCTATACAGGAACTGAATCCTGGTGTGGTGCTGTAGGATCAGCACTGGACTATGAACCACAAGGTCAGCAGTTCAAACCCAACCCTGTACAGGGTTGCTATGAGTCAGCATCAACTCGACAGCACTTAACAATAACAACATGAGCCTCAAAAGATTTGATGGCACTTAATAACAACAATGAAAAGAAAAGCAAAATTTGAAATGACTTAAAGGTGCATTAAGTGGGAGAATAACTGAATAAATTTGTTGTTGTTATTGTTGTTAAGTGCCGTCGAGTCGGTTCCAA